AATGTTACAATGCAAACATTGTCACTTGATATTTTTTTATTCAAGCAAGCAGGAAAAAAAATCATTTGGTTATAAGCAGCTTCATAAACTAAAATTTAATTTGATTATTTTCCAAACTCAATCCCTTCAAGGCTTTAAACAGCTTTATAAACTAATATTCACTTTAATTTCATATGCAGATTATGATTTAGTTGTTTTTATTATTTTTTAATATTTGTATAAAATTAAATTTTGTTACCTGAGAAATTGGTTCTTTATCATTTTCTGTGGGTGCTTGTAATTTAAACTTCAGTTCTTCAAATTTTATAAAAATCCTCATCTTAAATTCTTCTTTTGGTGGTTCAATAGGTTTCTCATATTCAAAACTCAAAGGTTGTAATGTTACCTTTTATAAATGAAAAATGTCATAAATATTATTCATAAAATTTTAATTTCTGCAATTGAATATAAATAATAAACATGACTAACTGATTAAATGTTAACACAAGACACCAACCCATTATGAGCTACTTGACTAGACTTAATTTTTCCCATTACAGTTTGACCAAAAGTACAATGAAGTGAGTCAGCATAGATGAATGGCATGCAATCATAGTGTAAGCCAAACTATCTACAGTTAACTTATGATGTTCTGGATCACAGTTAATTCCAGAACATTGTAGTGGTCACAGCATGTAGCAAACCAAAATGAACATGAATATATAATAATTTCACAATGTTTTTAGGAGTATAGAAAAGTTTAATATTACTAAAATTGCCTTAGTACTTTCTAACTAGTTAGTTCATCTTTAGAGGCAGCAAAGTTTAAAAATTCAAATGCTAACACAGCGTTTTGTTAGAATGTTTCAGATGTGATCTATAGCAATACAGTGGTACCTCAAACTTAAATGATTCTAACTTCAAACACTTTAGAACTTGAATGCTAAATTCAAGAGAAATTCAAACTCTGTTGCTATGATTTAAGTGCATGTGTACTGAAAAATGCTCTCTCTGCATAAATGTTATCTGTTATGTGCTCAAATCATCTCTTGCTCTCACTGTGAATGCATTTTTGCATTATGCTCATGCGTTTACAGTGCTTTCATTGCTTTACTTTGGTGTGTTTGGATATATATATATAACCTATACCTATTAACCATGGCATCCAAAAAAAAGTGTGAAAGCAAAGAAGTATAAGCGAAGGGTTGTAATATCAACAACTGAGGTGAAAAAGGAATTTATCACAAAGCATGAAACTGGTACATGTGTGGCAGATCCGATGGCTATGTTTAAGATTCCAGTCAACAGTATGTGACCAATAAATGCAAGTTTTACATATTTTATTTATTGTTTACATGTTTTAATTTATTGTTTAGGGTATTTAATTGTGTTATTTTTACTTTAAATTATGCTTATAATTTTTTTAACCTCAGACTGTCACCTCTCCAAGTTACACCACTTGAAAAGGCAGACATGATAAATGAATGCAACCAAAGAACGAAATGCATATATGAAAAAATAATAATAATAATTTGGACTCCAAAACTGACAATAGTCATGGTAAAGTGTTTACAGAAATATCACAAAATATACTATTAATTATTATAATTATTATTTAAAACATATTAATTTAATCTCATTATAATAAGTTGTAATATTTTTTATTTTAAAAATGTATATGTACGGAGAGTTATTTGTATTAACTGTGCAAAATAGTTTTTATATACAAATCAATTAAATCCATTCTAAAATAATACAGCTCATGAATAAAAAATAGTTTATACCTGCATATCTGGATATATTGCAAATATATTTTGTCGATTTTCTTTCCTTGCTTCAGTTATAGAATAATCTGTTTCGTGCGCATACTGAAAAACATAATTAAATTTTTTATTATAAGATAAATTGAAAAATCAACAAAATATTATGATGCATCAAAACATTAAATAAATAATTAACACTACAGTGTTGTAGCATTACAATCATGATTTATAATTAACATGTACTCACTAGTACTTTTGATAGCCTATAGCTATCGATAAGGATAGATGATAGAGATGCACTCACATTAAATGAAAACTCAGGGTGTACAAAATTCTGTTACAAAACATACTATCAGGGGTGGAAATTATTTACATTGGAGGATACTATGAGAATGTTAAAGTCCCATATCCTGGAACATCAAGATGATATTAAAAACAACAGATCAGCAACTGAATTATCTAAAAATCTACTAGACCATGGTTATCTACTGCTTCAGGCACACACTAAATTACTTAAGCAATGCAATGATCAAAGACAGTTATTTATATGGGAGATCCTCTAAATCTGCAGTAACACCATGCAATACGCTGATCATAGAAATCCTGCAACTGTGGATAACCTTATTCAAACGATTTAATTTGTAATTTTGTATTTACATGTGTACCACAATTATATACAGCTTACTAAATTGCTTTTTAAGGATTTTTGGGGATGTGATGTCAGTTGCTACGCACTTCTATAATTTTTTGAAGATATTTCAATTTGTTCTGTATTTCATCCATGCGCCTTGGAAAATTTTAAAAAGTCTGTTTGAAAGTGAATGTTCAAAAATTAATTGTATTCGATTTCTTTTTTGCTTGAGGATGGTGGCTGTAGGCCAGTGGTTCTCAACCTTTTTTGTCGATGTACCCCAATAGCCCATTAGTTGTTTCTCGAGTACCCCTTATATTTTTGTATGTAAATTTTATAATTATTGCTTTAGAGGTATACAGCCCTTATAACTGAGTGCCATAAAAAAACTCTTAACTATAACTAAAAGTGAATCACTTATTTTACGTAAATAATAATAAATTTAATCGGGTACATACATTTATTTATTATTATTTGATAAGTATATTATATAAAATCACAGAAGTCATTTCGATACACGCATAAATTACATTTCCTAAAAATAAATAATTATAATTAACAATAAAGAAAATTTAAATTATTCTACAATAATTTCTAACAAAATTTAATGGGATATTTGTTGCGATAAATCTTCAGCAATTTTTTCAAAATTTGGTTCCCACGTTGTTAAATAGAGATTATAATTGTGTACTGACCTTGAAAGTAATGGCTGCGAATTTATAACGTGCAGAACAATACATGAATCTTTCAATTTTTGTAACAAACGTAACGTCTAAATTTGCTAAATATCAAGTAATGCGTGCATGCAGTGACACGCATTGCATGGTGGGGGTACGATCCAGGCCTCGTTATTCCTAATACCAGTAGTCCAGTAAAAACACGAAAAGCTCCAATCTTATCTAGAAATAATTAATGTTCGGTTAAACCGTAACTTTACTAGACTACAGGCTCACTCGGCACTAACGGCATAAATACACGGGCAAATCGAGTAGATAAACAAGTTGTTTAGACTGTTAAAAGGGAAATCGGTGTTCACACTGGGATATTTTAAAGAAAGTTTTTATCATTTCTTGTTTTTTGTGTTAATAATTTACAGCGAATTGATTAACATATGCCATTTTATAATGAAAGTTAGATGTACCCATTTCGATTTACGCTCGTACCCCTAGGGGTACATGTACCCCTGGTTGAGAACCACTGCTGTAGGCTATTGAAAGTACCAGGAGTACATGTTAATTATAAATCATGATTGTAGTGTTAATTATTTATTTAAATGTTGGCATGAAGTGTCTTTTTAGGATCATTATACATTTAAAGTTTTTAGCACAATATATAGTATATCTACACATATATTAATATTTATAATATAATAGTATCTACTTGCTAAACATTGATCTGTAATCAATTTTGTTCTGTTATCAAAAAAATTTACCATCATTCTGTCATTTGTTTAAAACTTATTATAATAATAAATTAATAGCTTAGTATTTAGATCTGTTGAACCAATATAAAATTATCCTAAGATTTTAGCTTTAATCATTGAAAAATTATTTTCAATAATTAAATAATTTATCATCAAGTCAAAAACAGAAACTACATTAATCTAGATTCTACGTTCAATTTACAAGAAGTTTATAAAATTGCCAATATTTAGATTCAAAAAATTAAAGTTTGCTTTCATGAACATATAAAAAATTTATTATAAACTCATAATAATGGGTGTGTTTACTTTTAGCTCCAATCTCGCCCCTAGAGTGCTCAGCCTGTGTACTTTTGTTAGCTACCAATGAGCACAGCGTTTACTTTTCGAACCTGTGACATCATTGCTAGCATTCCTAGCGTGTTCGGAGAATTTACAACGAGCTTGAAGTTTATTCAAAGATGGCGGCGTGCATTGTATACTTTTACGAACGTGCTAGTTTGACGTCATGCTGCACTAGGTGTCAGCTCGGCAAGCTTGGAAGCTACCAAAAAGTAAACTCACCCATTATATACACAAATATATGTAATATGTTTTGAATTCAAGGTCACAAGATAAGATCATGAGTAAGCAAACCACATAAAATTATGAATGCATTCTTCTGTGTTAATCAACTGATTTTCTTAAATCAAATTTTTAGAAAATATGCAAGATTCAAAATGATATTTAATTGTTTTTTTTAAAATAAACCTTAAAAAGAAATAATTACAAATAAATAAATTTCTTAATGATTTGAACAATTTAAAAAATTGTATTCTTATCATTTTGTAATATATATACAGTAAAACCAGTCAAAAATGGAACTTGTAAAGAATGGAAAACTGCCAAAACAGGAAAAATACTTCAGGACAGAGAAATTTTCTATGTTTAATAAAACCTGTCAAATTGGAAAAAATATTTGGTACCATGTGATTCTGGTTTAGACAGGTTTCACTGTATATATATATAATATACAGTTTACTAACCTTAAAATATGTACACATTATAACAACTATAGTGTACAATAAACCTTAGGCTGAAACTTAACTTTAAGGCCATCTGGCCAACCTAAGTAGAAAACAATTTGATTAAGTAAATTTAAAAGTTAGAAATTGTAATATTAGAACTGTTATATTAACTTATTTTTGATGTAATATCTCAAATTTACAGCTCTGAAATGATAAATATCTTCAAAATCTTTTCATAATTTGTCTGTCAAAGCAAATAAATAAGCATAAATATTATGTTATACAACTAACCTTTACTAATTCTGGATTTTTACTGTGTTCCAAGCTTTTTAATGTTCCATAATTGGTGGGTGAAGGATTAGGAATATCTTCAACTATAAAATTTAAATAAATGTTTATTTCATTATTTTGTTTTTTAATAGAAATTAGAATTATAATAAAATTGATATTTAATTTTTTAAATAAGATTTTATCTCTATTTTAATTATAATTTCTTAAATTGTAATTAAATTAAAACTTCCATAATTAAAAAAACTTTAAAAATACAATTTTCTAGTGTTAATAGAATCAAAAATAAAATAAATTAACTACAAAATACTTTAATTATATTCAAAATAATGTTATCAAGAATAATGACCATGTGAATGAAAAAAATGCTAATAAGCATAAGTTAGAAGTAAAAGCAAATGCTTCAAGCTAAAGGTAAAAGCAAAAGAATTTCCTCTGGTATGAATAATGATTACCTTGTTCTTCTGAGCAAATGCTTTTGGTAATCAAGTAAAAGGTTCTCGACGTGCAGGTTATGACACGTTTAATCTGTCCCTATGTTCTATCTTATTAGCTGTATTCAATTCATATTATTTGCACCCATGTTGACCTTTGTTAATTAATGTAGATATCCAACTAACGTCTATGCTGGTGAATGTGCATCTGGCATCACGAGTAGCCTGTGTGTTTTGATTAATATACTCATAACAATGAAATCTGGGCTTTTCTAATCTTATGTGAATGCAGTCAATCACACCAATTGTAGTTGGAAAGCGATATTTATTTTGCCATAGCTGTTTTGCTTCCGTGATGGACTGATCCGTTGTAGGAAATTTATCCAATGATCAGCCCAAGCTGTTATTTTCTCCACAACATTGCTCACTGCTCTACACCAAGTTCTTCTCCTATGTCTTTTTGGAATCCAGGATCAGCTAAATATGTTCATATTTTCATTTTTTGTACAGAAATTAGTGCACCATAGTGATTCACTTGTCAGTCCTAAAAAACTGTGTGCTAACCATTCAATACTTTCTTCTTCAAACCTAAATAATGCCTCAAAATCACTGACTCATGGAGAAGACCAAAGATTATAATATTTAACCTTCCTTAGATTAACTACTTTGTCCACGGTTAAACATTAACAGAAAATAAATCTAGATAAAAGCAACAGCAAACAATGCTTCTTACAATTGAGTCTACATCTGACTAGATGCATGTATTTTGAAGGATATACTTACAATTCAAAGTAAATGCTTACTTTTATTCATATGGAATACTTATTACTGAAACAAAACCTTCATTCAAAAGCATTTATTTTGTGCTCATAAGTATAAGGTTTTGCTTCTATTTTAATTTGTACAGCTAAAAGAATTTCCTTCAAATTTTACAAGAATAAGGTAATGCTTGTTTTTATTCATATAGCTCAGGACTGTCCAACTGGCGGCCTGCCAAATAATTTTTACGGCCCCCGAGTACATTTTACTATGAATAAATTTATGTTACTAAATTATTATTATTAATATTAAAATTATTTTACTATGTGAAAATTTAAATTTAATTTGAATTTAAAGTAGGCACTATTTAGTTTGCGTAACTTCACTTAACAATACAGCAGCAACCTTCTTGGCCTGAATACAGCAGCAACCTTCTTGGCCCCCAAAATGTTTGGTGAAGAAAATATGGCCCGTGGGCTATGATAAGTTGGACAGCACTGATATAGCTCAATGTTTTGAGACTGACTGATCTGTTAACATGAATACATGAGGGTTATTTGGCTGATGATGATGAAGTCAATAAGAGTCGGGAAAAAATATTCCAATCTATAGTATCCATGGATCAAATGATAGTGATATCAATCAAATTTGAACCCAGATCTTCCACTTTTTTAATTTTTGGTAAAAAAGAACTTCATTTCTAGTTAATGAAACTAATTAAATAGAATAACTTTTATTAAATAAATCATTGCAAATTATATGCAAAGCGCAATGACTAATTTACTAACACAAACTAAATGTTTCTATCTAGCATAGTTTTTGCACAATGCATGTTTGTAATAAGATACTTTTTACCATAGTGCATAATCGTTTTGAGCTGTTAAAAGTATGTACAACCGAATTCACATTAATATATTATGAACTAGCTAATGTAGCTGGTGATGCTCGAGTTATCTTAAAATATAACATCAAAAAGATTTTAAAACTACACATGATTTTGTTAAATATCAGTTACATGGTAGTTGATGACTACAAAAGTCTTTATTGAATAATTGATTTCGTTGCAGTGTTAGAAATTCCATCATTTTTCTTTCAATTCTCTCATAGTAAAATAAATTTTATTTATATACAGATCTTTGTATAGACTTGTTTCATTGCATTTTACAGAAATAATTCTCTGAAGCAACAAAGAAAGTAATTCTTAGGGTAGAAATTGGTAATAAAATGATTTAAAATTATATATTTCAAGAGGTGTTAATAATACTTAAAATATATTGAATTTAGACGGGAAATAATAAGATTATTTAAGTAAATATTTTCAAAATATTCACATGTCATTAGGTTTTATGTTGGAAGTGTGGAAGTGATAAAATAAAATGATTCATTTGCTAAAATAAACTTTTTTATAATCATTTGAAAAAACTTTGAAAGAATTTTTCTATAAAATACTATGGAACAGATTTATAGGAAAGTGTGTAAATAAAAAAAGAGATAAATTTCTTGAAAATGTTGATAAAAAAGCATGAAATTCAATGATGCTGCCAATCCAAACACAAACATTTCTACAGAGGCTTCACACAGACAGAACAATGCCACAAACAAACAAAATTTCTCTTTTATTTATTAGATATGTTCTAATAAATTATTCTGAAAGCACTATTCCTGCTGCTCTAACTCATTTTGTGTTAGAGTAGCAGGAACATCATCTTAATAATTAATCTTTCTAAACCAGCATTGGATTGATAGATTTCCAATGAACTTTTTCACATGAAACTCTGGAAAATTTAAAAGAATTGCCAACAATTTTGCCAGTTTTAAATTTTTTTTGCCACCAGTTTTACTTACTATTTAATGCAGGTGCTGGTAGCCATATCAGTTTGGAGTCTGGAAAGCAAAAGTAATATGTTAAGCTGTCATTTATAAATAGAAATCATTTTTGAATAATTCTGAATAACACGTTTGATCACAATGCTTAAATGGTATTTCATGTGTTCTGTCATGTCAAAATCTTTGTTTTAGTTAACTGAAAAAAGTTCAAAGTGAAAAAAAAAGTGTCACCCAAAAAATTCCCCAATTTTTCTGTCAGTTCACAAAAAATCCCCAATCTGGAAAAACTGGGTGGCATTGCATGAAAACGGTCTTCAGTTCACAATGTGACTTCCTGCTTTCCTGTGCAACGTCATGAAATTACTGTATGTGTGGTGCACTGGATAATTTTCTGTTTTTCCTGAAGCATGCTTTGTAATTCAATTTCATGCTGAATGTCAAAATAAGCAGACCAAGATTTCTATCACCACTTTAATAAAAATATCAAGTGGTGATTTTGGCACTATGTAATGCTACTCCTGGAAACTGTAAAAGATTGTCTGTTATAATACACTCATTGACAAAAAAGTTATGCATCCAGACAGAACTATTTAATAACTATAAAACTCAACACAGCTACATCTGAAACAGATATGTAAATATTTACAGTTGTGGTCTTGATTGCATGCCTCATAATGCTACTAGAGTGTGTTAAAATCACTATCTCAGTCATCCAGAAACATGTAAAAGCTTTGCTATGAAATTCTCTCTTCTCATACCATTAAAAGACAATTTGCAGAAGAACAAATTTGCATACAAAACAAGTCCTACCATTAGTACCCCATCATAATCACCTTCATTTGCAGTAATATCATGATAGAGAAGCATAGACTACTACAAACTGGTAGCATATCATCTTTAGTGACAAATTCCAATTCTGTTTGAGAACAGATGATGATCATAATGCTATGTGGAGGACCACTAGTGAGTGCTTCAATCCTATCTTTAGAATGGCCAGATGGCTAAGTGATTAAGGTGACAGCTTACTGGGAGACTCAGGATTAAATCTGGATGGATCAAAAATACTCCAGGGTTTTTTCGACAGTAATCCATTCGGATATATCAGGCTCCATTTCTTACCAATGGCTGCCCTATTGTGAGCCTGCTAAAACCATAAACTCATAATAAGCTTGTTAAAAAAAGTCCTCTTAGCAACCACAGGAAAGAAAGAGTTTAAGTAAAATGCCCATCTTTACTGTTGGTTGGCACACTTGTTGGGGGTGTCATCTCATATGACATTGTCACCCTAGTAGTGATGCAAAGGACATTGATGGCAGAGTTACATTCTTGAAATACTGCACCCCCATATATTGACTTTCACATCATAATTGCAACTTTCCAGCAAGGTGCTTAGTTGCATTACCTTGAAATGTCTCCATCAAGTTGCCATGCTTCCCTAGCCTGCCCAGTCTCCAGATTTGTCACTATTTAGCATTTGTGGGATCAAATGGGACACTAGTTTCAGCTTTCTATGAATATGAAGAATCTGGAATGGCAGTTGCAACATCTGTGGACAAATCTGTTCTAGAATAGTATATTAGCATGTAGATTTCCTGTCTGACAATAGTGCCTCCATATATCTAGGCAAGAGGAGATCCTATTTGATACTAAGGATCCCTTTAAATTGTATTGTTGTTCCACCAGAAATTATTCCTTTACTATGATATTGTAATTGTGTATTACTATTGACATTACATTTGCACTAAATTTTATAACTGCCTTCTTGGTGCTTAACTTTTTCAGTCAATGAGTATATTTTAGTGATTTTGATAATATTCTTTCATTTATTTCAATCAATCTATATATTTAATATAATAAGAAAAATCTTACTTTCTGCTTGACTTTTTCTATTATTTTCTATGATTTGTTTATCTGTTGATATTGCTTCACTAAGAGTTGATATCCATCCATCTAATTCTTCTTCATTTTCTACAGCTAATACACATGTCCTATGATTATCTCCCATTTGTAAAGCAAAATTCCATTTATTTTTCTTTGAATTCTAAAGTGATAAAAATGAAATAAATACATTTTATTTATACATTTCTTTTTATATTAAAAGTAAATAAATATACAGTATAAATTTAGTAAATTTATAAAACAGCAGAATGCTGGGAATTTTTTGTTAACCATATAAGTGGCTCTTCAATGAATTGACTGTTAGAATGTAAACTGTTTGCTGTAAGCCCCACTGAAGAGGCCGTAGGCAAAATGCATTTGGGAAGCTTGTTAGTAATAATGTAAAAAAAGTTTTTTTCTCTGCAGATTATTTTCATTTTTATACCCTTTTTTAACTCTTTTTTAAAGTTTTTATAGTCATTATTGGCTTGATTTTTTAAAAATTGAAGTTATATATTATCCAAAAGTCAGAAAGGAAAGAAAAATATAAATTTTTTCGTAATTTTACATTACGAGACTGGCCAGATGATAACTTGGTAAAATGTCAATCTATTGCTGTGAATCCCAAAATTTCCCATTCCTGTCCATGCTACAGACAGGCTCTATGTGCAGGTCCTACCTGTACTACCTATTACAGACAAGCCAAATGTAAAGGGCCTGTCCATATTAGATAAAATTATGATATACAGTTTTTATTACAAACTGCAGATAATAATGATTCTTTAGAAGAAAATGCTACCTTCAATTTATTTTTTTAATCTCAACATTAGCAACAGATAGTTAAACATTGTGATAGTTATCATGCTGTAATTGTTATACTAATTCTAATAAGAAAGTATATATTGTTCAGTATATATTAATATAGTAAACATAAATTTAAAATCATTTAGAAGGTATTTATAAAACAAATTTTTTCATCTTAGAAATATTTCGATATGTTTATGCTTCTAACACAATAAAGTGTTCTAAATTAAGACACATGGCGGGTTTTCTCATCTTTATTTAGTCGACTAAATAAAGATGAGAAAACCCGCCATGTGTCTTAATTTAGAACACTTTATTGTGTTAGAAGCATAAACAAATTGTAAAGCACGGTTTCATATCATCAAAATATTTCGATATTACAAAATATGCAATTTTCAATTAATATTTAATCAAATCACAATTTTAAAAACAATTTAATGTGTTTGGTATTAATTTTTAATAATGCAGTCTGCATTTAAATCTCATTAATAAAATAAAACCATTACAGAAATAAAAAATAAGCATTTGAATATTATAATAATGTAGCAATGAAAGGTTTAATGGGTGTTAACATAATAATTGCAACAACTGATTTTATAACTTTTTTTCCTTTAATTCAAATGTTAATAAATCTTTAACTTTCTTTTGAGAATTTCATAAAATTTAGACACTAGTGACAAGTTTTTTTTTTTAAATTTTTAGATTAATACACTCAAAATATGAAAAGAAAATATGCTTTATTCACTTTCCTAAAAATTTGTATAGCAAATGTTTTTTATTTTTATATATTTAATATTCTATTAAAACATCTTTCATAAGAATAATTATACACAAGATTTATTCTCATATTTGTTATATCAAAAAAGTATTAAAAACTTCAAGAAATGGCTGAAACAAAATGAAGGTAACTGTCATATTTCTATTCACATAATGGAAAAATGCTTGAGAAACAATAAAAATGGCAACAGAATAAAAGTAAAAGAAGGTTTTGTGCTTGTTCTACTTACTTACCTAAAGCTGTTATTTTAAAATATTAGATAACTTTTAATAACATAACCTTTATCTAAATGTTAAAAAACTGATAATATTTACATTACCTGCACAACTTTTGTGCAGAAATCCATAGAAAAAGATCCCTTAGATTCCAATTTGCTTTCATCTTTATAAAATTCTAATGTGTGTGTTCCGTCGATTTCTTTTCTCAAGGACATAAAACGTTTCTTAAAAGACTAAAAATAAAATGTTTAGTTAATTATAAATGCATAAAATAAATTTGTCTTTTTAAATTTAAGTTATTTAATAAAGTTAAACATAATTTACTGTAAGTAAATAAGCATATTATTATTATTTTTTTTATAAGTATCGATCATGAGGAGGAAGAGTTTTAAACATTATAAAATATGACAATTATAAAATTAAATTAGAAATACACAGAAAACAAAAATGTCTATAAAAATCAAATATTTCCAACTAGAAGCATTGCTGATGATCTACAATAAATGTAATTAAAATTATAACCAGAGCTGTGAGGTCAGTACACTCTGACTTCAACTCTGGCTCCAATTCCTCAATTTATGCTACCTCCAACTCAGATGCCTTTATTTATATATCAATATAAAATAGAAATAATAAATTATATGTAAAATATGAAATTTTAACATATATTATTTATGTTTAATTTCAATTTATTATGACTCAGAGTTGGTCCATTTTTACCAACTCTGACTCCAGTAACTCAAGAATTGCTTCTCATTCCAACTTCACAGCCATGATTATAACCATGTTCTGATCATAACAGTTCTTGAGAAAATTATCTCTGAAAACGGGGGATTCGAGTACTTTTATTCTCAAGGGTTTTAAATTTATTTTTAATTTAAATTTGAATATTCTTTTCAAGTTTTGCAAAAAACATGATGATTATTTTTTAAAGTAAATTGTACATAAAATTCTTCATTGCATATAAAAAATATATTTTTCTTGTGTACTTAAACCAGATTTAATCTGTTTGGAGATTTAGTACTTTAAAGACAAGAAAACTTTGTTACTTAATAAATATCATGATCTAGAATTTTATAAAAAAATTAGTCTGATTTATTTAATGTATATCAAAAGAAATTGAGATGTAATAAATGCATATTCTTAATAAATATGAAAAATAACGATGCTGTTTGGTAAATTAATAAAAAATTTACTTTTCAATTTAATTATAAGAAAAAAGATTTCATACTTTAGTTGCCACACTAAGAAAACTATCTGTTCCAGATTCCGGACCTTTAAAAACATATCCTTCTTTAATTATTGCACTTTGACTGCTTTCAGAAGAAATCTAAAAAAATNTTTTACTGTTATTTTCTCATTTTTCATTATTATTTTTTGTATTTAAATTTATGTATTCTATTTTTTGAAATGCCAATGTTCCTATCTTCTAATTTAACCTAAGGATGGTCTATTGAATAGGCTGAAAGCATTAGTTTATTTTATTAATAAATTGTCTCAGCAATATAAGGTGTGTTTTGATAATCTGATATTTTCTGCATTGTATTAAAGTTTTTGCTGGAGTTACCAAGGTTTTGTGGTGTATTGTGAGTTATTGTTATCCAGTTAAGAGAAGTAATTAAATATTTATTATTAGATATCACGATCAACTTTATCTCTTTGAAGTAATGAATGACATAATTTATTTGTTTATTTGATAATTGCCAATTGTAATTATAATGTATTTATCACTTTCAAACTCAAATAAGAGACATATCAGACTTCCATAGGTAAAAATACTTAACATTTATTGATATTTGGCTTATTTGTAACATTATTTCTTGTTTTTACATTCTGGAAGAAAAAAATTGGTCCAGAAAGGTACAGTAAGCAGGAACTGAGTAAGATTCGTTTTTACATTGATATTTTCAATTTCATTAAAATAATATATTTAAATTATTACAAAAAGAAACACTCATTTTATCATTCAAACTGAAATAAAAATAATGGATAAAAATAAATTTGCAACAATACTTTATTGCAATGACAGTAGATAAAACCGAAAAGTAATGATGATTCTTCACGTATATCACATCATCAGAAATTAAGGAAATGTAAACAATTTCACATTTGTTGAGAAAAATATTCATGTAATAACTATTTTTGACACGATTGTATAAATTTGAAGTTTTTAGTTATAAATTAAACCTTTTCTTTATGATCTAAACTTACAACAATTCCATAATTGTATAGTTGCTATAGTTTTATGCATAGTTGTTATAAATGTATCAAGTACAGTAGAGTATTGATAGTTCGAGATTCTGTATAATTCAAGGCACTATAAGCCAAAGCACACATACTCAACCAGAAAGCATATAAATTACATATTTGGATAATTTAAATAAAGTGTGTGATGAGATACCATACATTGAAATTGTAAGCTAACCAAAAGGTCTAACATTGGCTTTCAATTTATTCATTGTGAAATGATAATGTTGCCAGATACTTCCAAATATGATTGCCACTTGTCTTGTATTGTACAGGACATCATGTACTTTAAGTCAATAAAATAAACATGATCTTACTTAACACCTTTGCTTATTACTGTTTACCACTGTTATTGTTACTTTATTACTGTTTACTCCTCTCAGATTGATAGCAGTGTATTAGTGGCACAAGATTCTGGAATTGCGGTCGAAGAAATTCAAGACATATCGTTAATGGATGAGGAAGTAGGAATGGTATTAGATTATGAGAGCTTATACCCTTCCATAAAAATCAAATCTTGCATGGAAGCATTATTAGAATTCAAGATCAGTAAGAACCCCGAACTGATTCATTACAACAATGAGGTAGTAGAGCTGGCTAATCTGATAAGTTACGAATCTTGCTTTAGCTTTAAAGGCCAGACATACAGGCAAAAAGAGGAGTCTCAATGGGAAGTCTGATATCAGGAATACTATGTGAACTGGTGGTTAGAAAACTGGAGGCACTGGAGGAAAGTATTCTGTGATTTCAAAAAAAGATATATATTTTAAAAGATATGTAGACAATGTCCTTGTATTATGGAAGAATAATTGAAAAATTAATGAATTTGTTGATGAGATCAATAATAACAACAACCTAAAACTGAGGATGGAACAGAAAAGTTCCTTAATGATACATTTTTTTAGACATTAACATTCAGTTCAAAAAAGGGCATTTAGCCATCAGTGCAGGCTGTGCATCAAACGAATGCACAGCCTACTTTACATCTCACAATTGAATGATCTGTAACATTATAAGCTGGTAGCATTCTGAGCTCTAATTAGAAGGGATTTTCTATATTGTGATAGCGTTGTAGACAGAGAAAGAGAGATTGACAGAATTGCACAAGTGGCTGAAGCCCTAGGATATGAAAAAGACACAATAACAGGAATGATTAGAAGATACAAGATGGGCACAGCAAGGGTTTCAAAACATGAGCTCAGTAAAGTCACAAAGTTCACATATAACAGAAATATGAAAGGCATTATGAAAGAAATTGCAGACTTCAAGGAGTCAAGAACGGTTTTGAAAGGAGCTCTAAACCTGTATACAATTTTAAGGAATGACAAAGATAACATTAAGAAAGAAGAAAAAGCAGGGGTGTACAAGATACCTTACAAAAATGTACAACTAGGAATCAAGAAAAACTGTATTGGTGTTACAACAAGAAATTTGGGAGTAAGGCTTAAAGAACACAAGTATAACATCAAAAGAGGATCCTACACAACAGTACTTTCCCAGATGGTGCAGACTCAACGCTCAATAGTAAAGTGGGTTAAAATGGATATTGTCAAACCCTTGCACTCCCTAACATTAGCAACGAGTGAATTGAAATTTACAAAAGCAAACTGGAAGAGGCATATACAAATGAAAGGAGTGCAGAAGGTCTACCATTTATAATATTATAGGCTTGGAAATATATAGTCAGAAAGTTTTCCACAAACTCCTAATTTATGCCTTAGTTTATAATTTCATGTTTTATGAATATACCTTAATAATTTCTATTAATGTTTGTTTAAGGTATTATTACTGGATTTTTATTTTTATTATTATATCTGATTTGTTTTTCTTTTATATTTATATTTATATATATATATAATTTTACTGTTATTTTCTCATTTTTCATTATTATTTTTTGTATTTAAATTTATGTATTCTATTTTTTGAAATGCCAATGTTCCTATCTTCTAATTTAACCTAAGGATGGTCTATTGAATAGGCTGAAAGCATTAGTTTATTTTATTAATAAATTGTCTCAGCAATATAAGGTGTGTTTTGATAATCTGATATTTTCTGCATTGTATTAAAGTTTTTGCTGGAGTTACCAAGGTTTTGTGGTGTATTGTGAGTTATTGTTATCCAGTTAAGAGAAGTAATTAAATATTTATTATTAGATATCACGATCAACTTTATCTCTTTGAAGTAATGAATGACATAATTTATTTGTTTATTTGATAATTGCCAATTGTAATTATAATGTATTTATCACTTTCAAACTCAAATAAGAGACATATCAGACTTCCATAGGTAAAAATACTTAACATTTATTGATATTTGGCTTATTTGTAACATTATTTCTTGTTTTTACAACTAGATAACAGAGATTTTGATAAATTTGAGGATATAATCCTCAAAAGCACTTAATAAATATTAAGTATTTTTATTTCCAGGAGTAAGCATGTTATATTTTTATTTGTAATTATAATATTTCAAAAGAACTTACAATATCTTTGTTTCCTGGGGCCGTATCTATCTCGTAAACTTGATCTTGAAGATCACTGGATTTTGGCAGTCTGGAGACAAAAATTATAATTTAATCATTAATCATTAAAACTGGGTTTAAAGTTAAATAATGTAGATACAAATGTATGAGGTATTGTGAAAACTATCTAGAAATTTGACTATTAATCTAATTCATGAAGTTCACAAAACATAACATTTTTGTAGAATTTTAAAGATTTGGAAAATCTGTATAAATTCTATTTTTGTTTATGAAACTACCAAATTTTGATTTTAGTTTTCTTAGTTTTGAAATGTTTTGCATTAAAATTATGTATCTTAACTTTATGCCAGTTAATTCAATAATATAATTTATTCAATTTTCCTAAAACATCTTTGAATGATTTGATAGTGAAAATATCTCTACTTATAAATAATTCAAGTTTTTGTACAATAGATTTTGTTTAGTATAATAATATATAATTTGTACTTATTAATATAAACAGTTAATAGTCTTTCAGCTGATTAAGAAATCACATACAGTGGAAACTTGATTATCTGATCCTGATGGGATGAGGAGTCTTTTGGATAAACAAACTTTCAAATAATTCAGAAACTTGTTTATATTTTAGTACAACATCAAGCACTGTGCATTTAAAGTTTCATGAACAATAATGTAATGCAATTTCCGTATTTGAAAGTAAATTAATTTATTCAAAATTTAACATAATGTTACATGTATATGATTTAGTTTCATAGTGCTACAACTGGCAGATGACACACAAATTTCCAGTTACATGGAGAGTTTGGTGTCTGTGGTATGTACAAAACTATGCATTCAAGATTTTCTTTTTTTTTAAAAAACTATTGTGGATAATCAAGTTTCCATTGTATTTCTATATGTGAATATGAAGTGGCTCAATTTTAAAAATATTAATGAAATAAATAAGTCCATGAAAAACCTATTTTATTGGCGTAACCATTAGTAAAATCTCACATTCGCAAATACTTTTGGACTGTAGAAGTCCATCTTCTGACGTATGTACATATAGATCAAGACTGTCACATGGCAGGAAATTTCCCCTATTGTGGGAAATTTGGCTCCTGTGGAGAAAATGTATGTATTTGTACATAGTTTAAGTAATAAAGGAAATTCTGATTTTTTAAATAAAATCAAAGGAAAATATGCTATATAATTAGGTACATGAAATAATTTAGATTTCGGATTTACACAGATTTATGCAGATTGTTTTGATGTGAAGCATAATGAGGAATTGAGGGAAAAGTTGCTATCTTTCAACTGGATGTTGTGAGGTCTAGTGGCAGCACTAATACAAATATAAACAGTTCTTAAAAGCAAATTTAAGTCTTCAAATATATCTGAACAGCAAAAAAGAAAAAAAAAAAAAATTCAAACATTCTAAGAAAACACTCAATGTTTGACACAAGATCATATGCTTTGAATATTGAGTGCTTTCTAGAATTAAATAAAACTTTTAAATTAGTTAAAGAACAGTTGATAGTCATAGTATGTCATTAACTATAAAGATTTGTCTTTAACCAACTCAATATTAAAAGAAGTAATTTAAATTGTAGTATAAATGGTACATTTATACCACAATTTATACAATATTCAAAAGTAATATTCTAATTAAATTTAAATTTTATCATACCAAAATAAGACTTTCACATAATTCATATATAATTAAACTAACTTACCTTGCTAATTGTAAAAATGTTCCAGAATAATTATCACATTTATATTTTATGACATGCCAATTTATGGTATACGTTTTAATACATTCTCTTACAAATAAAGAAGTTGCCTGTTTTTCTAATCCATTAGGTATAGTTGAAAGTTTTGTCCTACAAGTTCTAGGAATTATTTCTTGCTAATAAAATAAAAAATTTACACTCAAATAAATCACATAATTTAAAAAAAATAAAAATATTTATATAATATAAAATGAATACATTTGCAACAATTAAATCAAAAGTACACACATTCTTATAACAGTTGAACGAACCTTCTTGGTTATCAAGCATTATCAACTATTACAGTAGAGCATCGATTATCCGAATATCAATCAACCAAAACATTGGTTAACCGAAAGCGTTCCAGTCGGCAAATTTAAATTTCTGCTAGTGTTGTGACACTGCAATATTTGACTATGTCTTGGGCTACTCCAATATTATTTTTGTTGGTGTGCATGTTTTAGCTGGTAGAACTGGTGTGACCATGAGAGGATACTTAATTAATTAATTAAGGACGTGCCAGGATTTGAACGAATTTCAACACGGGATAGGTTAATATTTTTTTTTTCGTGCATAATCGGTTATCCAAAAAATCGATTATCCGAACAACCCAGTCTTGAATTGTTTCAGATAATCAATGTTCTACTGTATTAATAATTGTTTTGATCTATATTTTTTATATAATGTAAATATTTAGAAAAAAACATTGAAGACATCCTGTATCCTGCAGTATCAAATATTCTGCCAAGATTTAATTCTTTATGTAAAAATATACAATCAAATCCATCTCATTAGTATGCAAACATGCTTTTGTCTTTATTAAATGGCACAAATGGTAAAATAATATGTATATCAAAGAACTGTTTTGAAATAAATTGTTTTATAATTTATTATCGGCAAATGATTTTATTTGTATACCTATTTTATATACCTGTATAAAAAGAGTAACAAATAGAAAAAAGTTTAAGAAGTCTTAATATAATGTATACTCTGGAATGCTCTAATCTCTCGCCCTCAGATAATTTAACATTACAATATATTAAAGAAGCCACAAGACAATTAAAGATACATATTCTCCTGTCAACTGGTTCTACTGTGTTTTTAGTTTAAAAATGGTCAATGCAAATATCAGTTACTCAAGCTCACTAGACATATATTATTTAAAAATTTGTTAAAAATTCAATTTTTATCGTACCGTTTTGGAAAAAATCCTGTATACACATGTTTGTGTAGTTTATGATTATTTAGTTTTTACTTGTTAATATCAAAATTTAGTTTATTGTCACCTACTGTCTGTTTTTAATCTTATACTACACTTTTACAATAGATAAAATAATTTATTTTTATTCATTCAACTTTGTCATTGAGCTAGCTTGAAGCAGAAGGTTGTCCTTTAGATTTTGATGTAAGATTTATACATATTGACGTAATTAACGAAAAGCAATTCTTATTTATACCAAAAAGTTAATGTTTATGTATTTCACAACTATGTGTGTAATTTCACAAGTCTAAAATTAACTGACACTTTAATGATTATCCTAATCGTGTTAAATGAGATCTATATTTTAGTATAAAAAGTAGTTTCAACGTATACTATGAAAAAAAGCACATGTTTAAAAAACAAGAATAATAAAACACGATAATTTTCCAAAAAATTTGAGTTTTATACAAAACTTTATAATTTTTGTTTGTTTATAATTTTTCCAGACAAAGGAAACACGTGCGTTCTTTTGTTTTTCTCACTTTACTTTTGTTCATTTGATGTTTTATTATAGTTTTGCTTACTGCTTTATAAATAAATAAAATGATACCAATACAGTGGAAACTTGATTATCTGATCCTGATGGGATGAGGAGTCTTTTGGATAAACAAACTTTCAAATAATTCAGAAACTTGTTTATATTTTAGTANCACATTTTCTTTGTTTGAAAAATTATAAATAAATAAAATTATAAAATATATTATCTAAATCCCAAATATATATACAGTAGAGCATCATTTATCCGAAAGTCAATCAACCGAAATGTTGGAACAAGTCATATATATCTTACAAACAGTAAGATTTAAAATAATTAAAAAAATAATACAATAAATATATTCAGAAAAAATCACAAAATGCTCAACAGAACAGCAAAGACAAAAGTTTACTTTACACCTCAAAAAAATATATGTATATTAATTGACACTGCCATCTAATTAAAAATATGTGAAACAGAGTGTAACAATGCATATACTATAAAGAGCTGCATCCTAAGATAAAAATTTTTCATTAAAATTAAAGAAATTCAATGTTGACGATATATCTTCAAAGTTCTGATTTTCGCACAACACTAAGGTGATGAAATATTGTCAAGTGATAGTGAAAAGGTTAAAAACAAAGTACAATCCTACCAACCATTCCCACATTTTATCTGCCATATTATAATGATAATAATTTATACATGATCATTCATAATAATGAATGATCATGTATAAATTTTTATCATAATTGCATTAATTATGATATAAAATTTATACATGTACTCAGAAGTAATTTATGGAAAAAGTGAAATAGAATGCTTATTTAAGCATTCTATTTCACTTTTCAGGGGTGTTAATAAGTGAAATAGAATGCTTATTTAAGCATTCTATTTCACTTTTTCCATAAATTACTTCTGAGTAAGTTTATAATTTTGTTTTCATTTTGTAAAATTTGTAAGGATTAAGAAAGAGATTAAATAAAACAATAATCAAAATACTTTAATGGTGATAAAATTCAGCAAAATTTAACTTATTAACACCCCTGAATACAAGTACCACAGTGTAAAAGTACTTGAACATTTTCTGTGTTCTTTATCATATTTTGTTCAATTCTGTTTCCATTAAAATATCTTTACTATTGTTTCTCTTATAAATTCACTTATTTTTGATGAAGAGAATGATATAGTTTTAAAAATTCTAATAATATCTTTTATTTTTGTAATAAAACATCTTTTGGCATCATATCTGAGCATATAAAAGTACTTTATGTGCTCAGATATAATGCCAAATATAGTATAAAGAAGAAATTGTACTGTCTTTCAGTGTTAGATTTATTTGTTTGATTAATTAAAGACATGCAAATACTTTCGACATCTCAAAATGTCTTCCTCAAGTGAAATTTGAATTTTATACTCTTTTTTATCACTTGAGGAAGACATTTTCAAATGTCAAAAGTATTTGCATGTCTAATATCATAAAGTACTCAGCAAATCACTATACATATATAACTAACATATTTCTCAGCAAGAATAAGGTGTTAGTTATATGTATTTGCATGTCTTTAATTAATCAAATAAATAAATCTAACACTGAAAGACATTACAATTTCTTGCTTATAAAATACGTACAAATAATAAAAATAAAAATATTCAAAAGTAATTTTTAACTGTACTCACTGAAACATCATCTAATGGAAAAAGTAGCATCTCTCTCTGTGGATCATTTTGAATAATAGTCTTATTTTTAATTATAAACGTTTCATAATCCAATGGTTCAATTAACTGTGGTTTACTCTGTAAAATTAATTTTAAAGTTTAATTAATTAATTATATTTTAAAAGATATTAAAACAATAATTTCTTTTAAATAAAAAAAAATCTATATTTTTAAGTTACAAGATTAAATATCTTATAAATTGCATTTACCTCCCGATCATTCATTCTATATGAGAAGATATCACTATATCATATATCAAGCAATCAATAATACTCATAAAATGACATTACGCCATCATAACTTAACAATTAATGTATTTTTATTCGTTTAACATAATATTCCTCTCTGCAAATGCTTATCTTCCTACTTTAAACGTCACTAAAATAAGATTATTCCAGTCTACAGATTAACATATATTTAGGTTAATTGTCGATAACAGTTAATTAAATTACAATTGGACACTTGCTGGACGTAATTTACATATCTACAATAAAACAATGGCTCCATATTGTTTTTAAGAAACTAAACCGAAACATAAATTAAAGCCTAAATTGTTATTTAGAAAGATTTTCAAATTATATAAATTACATAAAAGTCTATTTCCTATTAAATTAATGGCAATTTCTATATAATAATTCAATTTATGAGCGATTATAAATATTAACAACATAAATTACTTTATTTACTTACACAATGCATTGCATCAACACATTAAACAAACTCGAAGGAAGTAAAGAAACACACAAAATAGAATAATAGTATTAACGGCAATAAAAAACCTTGGCACAGCAGTTTACTAGTGAGACGTCGATTAATAAACTTAACCCAATTTAGAAAAGAGTTAATAAAAATCAATTAAAGATCAAGAACTAAAATAAAAGATGCAGTTATTAATTAAAGAAATAACACAAAAATAAGGTTAACATGAAAAGAATTAAGATACAATATTAATTTCTTTGAAATTTCCGACGATTCAGAACATTAAATACAGAAGTATTTAACAAATTAATGTCTCTGTAAGAATTACATTAGAACTATCATCTCGTAATAGGATACGTTCAAATATTAAATAAACAATTTTCATTCTGATTAAGCATAAAATTGCTTTAAAGAATTTACATAGGAATTTCTCAAACAAATAGTAAAAACTGATTTTATTAATTACAGGAATGGATATGCATTTTGGGTGTTTTCACTCCTCATCAGTCCTCTCCGTTACAAATACAGCAGAGCGTTGTTTATCCGAAGGTCGGTTATCTGAAACGTCGGTTATCCGAAGGAATTCCAGTTGACAAATTTAAATTTTTGCCAGTGCTGTGGCGCTGTAATCTTTGACTATGTCTTCGGTTACTCAAATATTTTACGTTTTTGATACTAAATTAACTTCTGAAGTATAATTTTTTATTGTTTTTATATTTTTCAATATATTTATTTTGTTTGTACAAAATAAAAAAATAATTTTTAACGATACAATAGTCTTCGTTAGGCTTAACATCGACGAAAATTCAACGCGAAGCGACACGCAACGGAGAAAAATTTCAACATGGGATAAATTAATATATTTTTTTGTACATAATTGGTTATCCGAAAAATAAGTTATCCGAACAACCCCAGTCCCCAATTGATTCGGATAAACGACACTCTACTGTATCTAGTAGAATGGAAGGTTTGTTATAGCCTTTGAATAATCGGTTATTATTATGTGCTATGATTATATAATATATAATCATCTTAAAGCCTGATGATCATTATATTATAGCCAAATGATTACTGAATTTTCAGGTAATCATTTAGCTTTATCAGATTTACCAAATGAAGCAAAACAATTATCAGATTTACCTGAAAATACAGTAATTGGTTTGGCTTTGATTATGATATTAAAATATGATACAAATCAGAATGTTTCCTTCATTGGGTAATTCATTTTTCTTTATTGTAAAGTATTAACCTTTAAGCCGTAGGTGAAGAGCCAATAATTTCCATCATTGATATTTAATTAATTAAAATTAGCTTTAATATAAACCAAAATAATCTTGTAGTTCAGACTTTGGTTGTATTTTATATATATATATATATAGATGTAAACTTAATGAATAGTTTAATAAATGTTAATAAAGTAATTATTAAAATAACAATGTTTAAACAAACATTTTATTATTTTAATTAATATGCAGAAAAGTTATATTTAGTTATGAAAGTTATTATTATTATTACGGAACATTGGCATCCTCAGAAGGTTGTTGTTGGTTAAGTTATGGCAACGCAATACTTGGGCAATCTGCCTAGGGGGATATCTTCCAGGAGGTTTTTTAAGGGAAACTGACCCCTATTTAGGCGTTACAGACACGGAAAACTCGACGTGGCCAGCCCGTCTGAGCGAGGCGTGAACCCACGACTGAACTCCCAGTATTCAGGGATCTGCAGAAGGAGCAAACGGGGCCCTTGCCCTCACCTAGGATCAAGTAAAATATGCCACAAATTATAACTTTAAAATGGATTGAGATATTTAACCATAAACCCTTGACCAAAGGACATTTCATCCGTCTTTTTGTATAGATGCAATAGTGTATACTATAATCTACTTGTGGAAAAACTCTAAAAAATTACATTAATAAAAATTTATTGATGCAATTATTCATCTCCAGCTTTGCCTTCTCCTAGAAAATTTTCTCTGGATGCTCGCCTTATGGAAATATATTATTAAATGCTAGAGTATTGATTAAATTATGGAAACACTAATTTGTAAGTGATAAAGAAAGTGACTCTTTTACTTTCACCTATAAAAGATAGTCATTTCCTCCATTATACATAACAGTTTTTGATACTGAAACCAATACTTATACCTTATAATTAATTAAATATATCATTTATAAGAGATAATCAAACCTTAATAAATTCATTTATGCACTTTCTAAATGATTGTAAAATGCATAAAGTAAAAGTAAGTTATTACAATTTCATTGATGTATGATATTTCCCGGTTTAATCACACCTATTAACAGACATATCCAATTTTGTATAAATACAGGTATCCCTTGTATAATAAGGCACTTCTACAACATGGTTTCAGTCTAACATGATTTGAAAATTGGGGAAATCCCCCATAAAACACTTTCCAGTATCTTTCTAATATGGTCCGAGAATTTGGGAAATCCTCCATACAAAATTTCACAACTTTTAAGTGCAAACTCTATTATTTGATGTTTTTTTTTTATTCAAGTAAGCATGCATGTTGTTTCAAATTTGCCCCTGGATTTTAGATTATTGAATTTTTCAATCTGTTTTGTGCCTTTCATCAGATTTATTTTAAGGAAAACTGATAGGAAAGCTATCAACCAGGTGTCCTCATCATTGCTTTCACACTAGCCCTTAACCACTCAACAGTGAGGGACAGATATATCCATCCAGGGCGATTGTGTGGCAGTGGTGAGGGATGGATATATCTGTTAAATATGCTTATAATGGGAAACTTTGCTGCTAGAAAATTCCCAAACTTTTTACATTATCTCCAATATTTAATAAAGTTAATATTAATTCATTTTTACAATAAATTTATTTTAACATTAATTTAATGGATATTTTTCACTAAGAAAATTGAATAATGATTTTATATTTTATAAATAAATATATATCAAAGCACAATATGTAGAACCTACAGTATCTCATTGAAAATGTTAATTCTATTCGTAAATTCCAGTATTCTGTCAGAAAAAAAAAAATTTAATAACTTCAGTAATGAGGAAATTTTGCATCTATAATTAATTCCTAAAGAATTATAATTTATTTCTGCACCAAATGAAATTACCATATCAATTTTTAAATACATTAACTACTGGGTATCTAAATATTATCTTCAGAATTAAACTAAAATGAAACCAAGAATTAATATCGTTAAATAAACGTGTAATATTCCAAAAAAAGAAGAAATTCTGTCGTCTTCATTTCATAAATAATTCAAATAAATTGTAATTTTTCTTATAAAACAGAATAGTTTTTACTTTAACGTAAATTATTTATCTTCTAATAAGTGCCTCTTAACTTGTTAAGAATGAATTGCAGAAAACATTATAATTCATATCAATGTCGAAGAAGTCGAATGGCTCGTCAATCCAGGCAGAGTACGATTTGAATGGGTGACAATTTTTTAAAAATTCTCTTAAAATATTAATAAAATTTATCATTCTTTGTTCAATAGAGCACTTAATTTTCTGAAATACATTTAAAAATGAAAATAAAGAAATGAACAATAAACACTCTATTGTAACAGAAGCCTACAGATCTACAGTCGACCCCGCCTATAACACGGTAGATACGTTCTGGTTTTTATGAATCCAGCCAATCACAGCCTGGCACATATGCAGTTTATGGACTACGGCTGTTTGAAAGGTTTCTTCCATAAAATTAATCGATTCTAGACTAATTTGACTGAACATTTCCAAAATATGTATAATTTTTTGGGAATAATCCATATAAACTATGCTATAAACAAAATATTGTAGGATTACTTACCAAGTGTGCGCCGTTCGACCGCGCCATTGCTTAAGCTTGTTTTTGTTGTGGAGCTTGTCATCGAATGGTGCTTGCATGCTTCCTGATATTTTTTTTTTGTGAAAAATTCGCTGAACTTTGGAGACATCATTAATATAAATATAATTTTTTATGGACGTTAAATAGTAAATGGTTTTTAGTAGGTNCATCGAATGGTGCTTGCATGCTTCCTGATATTTTTTTTTTGTGAAAAATTCGCTGAACTTTGGAGACATCATTAATATAAATATAATTTTTTATGGACGTTAAATAGTAAATGGTTTTTAGTAGGTTCGCTACTCATTTAAACTCAACGATTTGTACAATATCCGCTATTGGTCTAGATTCGACCAATCCTGTCGCGACACGAGTCGGCGATGACGTTTTACCGAATTATAGGAGTTTTTTTAGTATGTTTAAACTAATACTGTTGCAATTTTTTCGCCGTGATATAGGAATCCAAACTATAGGAACCAGTGTTATAGGGGGGTCGACTGTGTTTATTATTTATTAATGATCAAGTTTAAACATTCTCCTTCAATTTCTAAAAA